CATGATAAAAATGCACTTTTAAGTACTAATCAATGAGCTTTCGACTAATGACTCCCAGACCAATTGGACTTAGGGCATTAGTTATTAAGACACCCCTTCGAGTTTAATAACTCGGGTTGCAGATACTGATACATAGATAGTGCAATGTTTGATTCCCTTAAGCTTTTCTCCTCAACCCATGTAACAAGCGTTAGGTCAATAGCTCCCAAGTCACTTGACTTTAGGTTATTAGGTGTTAAAACCTCTTCAAGCTTAATTACTTAGGTTAGGGAGGCTACAAAACCAAACTTATCTACATTTTTATTTTTTTAATTACATTTATTATTTATTTATTTATTTATTTACAAATTATATACTATCACTTTCCTTTGGTTGTTACCTTTAATAAAAGAATATAAATAATCTAATAATCTAATATGTAACCCACAATCATATGTTAAAGAGTATATGTGAAAATAAAGGCTTAAAAATATTTGTTAAATGAATATATGAGCAGAAGTGATTGATACTAATGTGAGAGTTTGTAAACTTGAATATTTCAAGAAGTATTATAATAGACCTTGTTAAGAATGTTTACTATAATACATCTCAAGAGTCACTTTAACAAAAGAAATCCTTGACTCTGCTATCTTAGTAACAATAGTTTTGTAAATAGAAAACACAGCTAGTATAGTAAAACTTAATTATGAGTTAATTATATCAAGATAAAAAGGTTTCACTAATGGTGTTAGGATAAGATAATATAAACTCAATATGGACTTCAATGCTTATATCCTAAACAACTTGCTATTAACATGTCTTATCATTTTTATCTTATTAATTCTTAATACCTTACTTGTTAAATGGTTAATCTAGATTTGTGTTGTATAACACTTTGTACATCAAATACTTTATCCTTCATAGTCTTCGGCCGACATCGTTATTATGAGAGGAACTTGATTTGTTGTCAATATAAGTTAGCATCATGAATGCTTGATAAAATTTATAAGTATGGTGTTATGTAAATAAGATGATTAATATGATCATGTTAATAATTAATAAAGAGTTTATACTTTATTTATCTCTAATATTATTAGTGCATCCTCTAACCTTGAGATTTGTTTTTATCATTGTATAATCTTCACATTAATCTTACATCTCAAAGTCCTCTATAACTTATCTTCACCACCATCACCATCATCATTGTTGTTGTTGTTCTTATTATTATTATTATTATTATTATATAGTTAACTTCCATGTAATTCGACCCCGGTCTTGCCGGGTTATTTATTACTTTGACACTCCTGCACTTGAGATAAGGCATCAACTTTTTGATCGTGTTATATATCATAACATAGAATTTTTGAATTTCTTAAATTAAAATTGTATTAATTCTAAAAAGATAAGGTGTTAAGCATCCACCTCTATCCTGTGCATGTGTTGTTTCTCCCTGCTATTATCTGATCCCTTCAACCTCTCTTGTACTACCAAGGATACATTTATCATTAACAATATGACCAACATTAACATTGTATTTCAATTCTCATTCAATCATCATTTTTATTCAAACCATTAGCAAGGAAAATACTTAAAATTCCTTACACATACACATTGTCCATGTTCATAATTATTCTTATCAATCTAAATGTTAGAACCCTCAATCAATAACAAATTTCAAGTAGAGAAGAGATTGATTAGTCCTAGCTAATTTAGTCCACCTAACCTAAAACATTGTTTGGTGTTTTAATATTAACTAAAGTTTCAAAACTCTTTTCTTAGCGTGATTTATCTTTATGGAAAGAGAATACATAGGGCTATAACTTTCATGATCGACACAACACCTAATTTTGCTATCTATATGTCTAAACTCACTCATTACAGTAATATAAAAAATTTATTCAATACTATGTCATTCTGGACCCTTACTCTAAGTTTTACTCATATATGGAGTTATATAACTCCAAATAAGTCAAGTGACCTTGTGCAAGGATTTATAATCAATACTATTTAAGAATAGATAAAACATTTTATCTCATTCACCTAAGGTAATGAATCATCTCTTTATTACTTAAATACCTTCATATAATTTGTGTTATACCCAACATCTTCTTATTTGTTATCCTTGATTAGGTTTGTGTTATACCAAACATCTTCTTATTTGTTATCTTTGATCAAGACAAAATATAGCAGGATCAAAACATAACACTTTTTATATAAGATAACTTAGAAATCTCAAGTCTAAGAATCACTAACACAATCATTACATGAGCCTTTTCATAGACACATGTAATCTCTCTATATGGAATTCTCATGCAAATCAGTTCAGTATACATATCATTCGATAAGCACCTACATATTAGTTTTAGGTATCTGTCATACCTTAACTCATGAGAACAACTACTTACTAAAAGAAAAAATATAATATGTATGAGTCTTAACAATTCTAATTAATGTCCAGTCTTAATAAAGTATTGAGTAAGAACATTAGAAACAATGTTTTAATGCAATAAAAATCATATAATTATAACAACTTTATAATTTTCTTTACAAAGCATTATTGTCTCAAATGACTTTATTTTTATTCTAATTTCATTAATTAAATATTAGATTCATTAATCAAATATTTGATGAATATTAAAGATTAATAAGCTCTTATTAATAAATTAAACATTTTTACATAAACAAAGCCAATGACATGTGTAGTGAATCGATTAGCTACAAAGTCAATACCCTAACAAGTTAAATTTCAACTCTCCTAAACAAACATGTGTAAAAGATTTTTTAGCCTCTTAGATGAAAATAATACAGAAGAAAAATCAAACTATATTATTTGAGCTAAAAATCCAATACTTATAAAAATATCTAACAATTACAACTATTCTTGACAAAAAAAACACAATAATTATTGCTAATGAGGATATGGTAGGGTTACAGCTCCCCAAAGCACTTCTAAATAATAATAGTAGGAGAAAACAGTCACTCTTTAACTCAAAAACAAATAATTAAGAAATAAATACATTAATTAATTTGTCATTTGAATCATAGTAATAAGACTCAACACGATAGTAAACCTAACCCAAGACTTCTATCATGGATTAGATGGGTTGATTTACTATTCAATCCAAAGTGTGTGTGTGTATTTCAAATTCGATGCTAGATTGACAAATCACCAGTTCATTAATCAGGTATGGATATGATATAAAACCATAATTTAAATTTAATTAATTAATGATATAGGGACAAAATTTCTTGAACTCTCCATGTGATTCTCCATCAACCAATTATTTTTAGCTCAACCAATTATCTTTAGCTCAAATGAGTATCTAATTGCTTATTTTTTAAAAAAAAGTTAAATTTAAAGAATAAGAATCAAAGTGAAAAATACATAGAAAATAGGTGGCCAACTTCGCATTTTATTTAAATTTAAAGATAAAGAACCAAAGTGAAAAGTATATAGAAAATAGGTGGCCAACTTCGCATTTTATTTAAATTTAAAGATAAAGAACCAAAGTGAAAAGTATATAGAAAATAGGTGGCCAACTTCGCATTTTATTTAAATTTAAAGATAAAGAACCAAAGTGAAAAGTATATAGAAAATAGGTGGCCAACTTCGCATTTTATTTGAAAAAGTTTAATTTGGTCTCCCATCTTTTTTAAGTTAATAGATAATTGGTCTATTTAGTTGTCAAAAATTTAATTTTGGTGCTAAAATTTATTTCTGTTATTTTTAGTTTATTTCTTTTTATGAGAGGTGAAAAAGACTCGTAGGATTCTGATATATAGAGAGAAAGTCATCATCGAAGTCCATTCCGACCATAAAAGTAATCGATTGTGGTGTCAATAAATTCTATTTATTGAGAGGAGTTTCACCTAAATGTTTTTTTCTTCTCTTGCTAGATGAGATAAATCTAACCAAAAGAAGATTTTTGGGTTCTAGTTAATTTTAGGTTTTCAAGTTGTTGTTTCAAGTTGTTTTAGATCATGATTAAATTTATCAAGATGTTTAAAATATTTTGGGTGAAAATGGATAGAAACGAGTTTTTTAACCAAAAAAATGAAAGCCTCGCTTTTTTGGTGACCTGGAGTGGCTTGATTCATCAAACAACTAATGATCACCATGATTTTATTTTTTAAAAAATGAGATGAACGGTATGTCATTTGTTCCTTAAAAAAATAGAAAAAAATAAAGTTAGGTCCAAGCACATAGGCTAAGTTGGAAGGCCCACGTGCCTAGGCTTTTTTGTTATTTATTTTTATTTTGTTATTTTATATTTGGGTAAAAAAATTAATAAAAATTCATTGAATCTAGTTGAGTTTATAAGTTGAGTTGTATGTTTGACGAGTTAATTTACAACATCCATGCTATTATTATTTTTTATTTGTTTAAAGCAATTTTTACCTGTTAGTTTTTTTTTTAAATACAATTTCACTTATTGTTATCAATAATATAAATTTTTTATTTAACTAAAAACTTAAAAAATATAATTTTACTATTTGCTATTAATGATCTATTTTTGATATATTAGTTCCAAACATTTATCAAGATTTTTTTAAAAAACTATTTTATAAAAAAAATCTCATACACTTTATTGTTATATAATTAAATGAAAAATAATTTTTAATATAAAAAATTTATTGAATTTGATTATATGGATGATTTGCATGGTGAGTATGATTAATTGATTTAAGTTCATTTAATTTTTTTAATTGAGTGGTGTTTTTTATCAATTTTATTTTTAAATATTAAATTAATTAAAAATTAAATTTTTTAATTTGTTTTTTTCAAGATTATTTTTTCATATTTCACAATTTAATCCATCTTAATTCAAGGAGATCCAACATATTTTCAATATTGATTAATATGCCATTTATTTTAAATTCAAGGTTAGAATATTTTTTTTTAATGTATTAATAATATTTAAATATATTTTTTCTGGTATTTAAAATCTTTTTTGCTCTGTTTCTTGATGGAACACGGTTAAATAGTTAGAATATTTCTATTTCTAGATTTTGTAGAAAAATTAATTAATTATTTTTTTAAGAACAAAACAAAGTAAAAATGCAAACGCTTCACTCCCCTGCCTTTGATAGATAGATAGATTGATTGATTTTGAATTCAGAAGAAACTCTTTCTAAAATAAATCCAAACCTTATTAGAGTAGAGTAGAATCTAGATACATACTACTCCATCCATAAACCGGTGTCGTTTTCGATTACAAGTGATGGGAGATGAGAAATCGGCGATCGTGATGGCGAGTAGAGATCGAGAGCTTCTCATACCGGTCGCTGACTCCCCCGATGTTGAAGTCGCTTCCAAACCCTCTTCTTCTTCTTCCTCATCATCGCATCACTCAGGACGCGAGGTTTAATTAAATTCCTCTCCATCTCGCCTTTTTAGGGCTTTTTTTTTTAAAAAAAAAATTCTGTTTTGTATGTTTTGTGGAGTTAATTGTTATTATCAGTATTATTGTTCTTCTTGTAATTGAAACTCCAAGTCTGCTAAATATAAGTTTAGTTTGAGCTTAATAATAATTCACTCGATTGCTGATTTTTTTAATTTGATTTTTGAGGAAATAAGTTATCAATTGTTTTTCAGTTTTGGGCTCTGAATTTGATTCAAAAGTTTAGGATATATATATATAACACAGCTTTAATGGTTAATTCAAAGAGTTACAGTTAATTGAGAAAATTATAATTATGGATTTAATTATGACATTGCGAAATACTAAATTAAGGTTATCAGTGAAAATTTTTGCATATTTGAGGATTACGTCATGTGCTGACTGTTGGCAAATTGCTGCTGCTGCTTCTTCTTCTTTTTTCCTTACAAAAATAAAATAAAATAAAAATTAATCTGACATTTTCTGTCTTTTGTTTGTGTAGACGTTTTACAAAGTTGTTAGGAGCTGGGCTTCAAAAAAATTCATGACAGGATGGTGCACTACTCTCTCTTTCATCTCCTTTATTCCCTTGATTTCATGAATAAATGCTGCATCTTTTCACAATCTTAGACAAACAGACATACAAAAAAATAAAAATACTAGGGAATAATTTGGCAGTTTGTACATGTATTGACATTGTTTTGTGAAAATTACAAGAACAAGATAATGCCATGCTCTTGACTGCACCCTTAGCAAGATTTTTATCTGTTTGAATGCGTTTTTCTTGTCTGATCTCTGGTGGCATTACACTATGAATTTTGCAACTATCGCAGATTTGTCATATCAATGAGATCGCCTAGGATGTCTCTTTGTTATATTATTTTCTGATTATTGGGGGAGTTTTGAAACACATTATGATGCAACTAAAATTTGTGCTGATTTGCTTTTAAAATTTTATTTTGACATCAATTCATCTTGTTTCTTGGGCAGTGGCAAATACTTGAGATTTCACTTACCATTAAAGATTGTGTGAAAGTAGAAATTTTTCAAGGTAGTCCTTGTTTTGCTTGGTACACGAGGAATTTTCTTTTTACCATGTAAATTGATTGGGTGTGTGTTACTTGCGCTGCTGCTTCTGTCGGTTGTGATGGAAACCAATGACCCCTTTCATGTGAATGGACATAGTCTTTTCCTGCCAGCTGAACACTGGAACAGATACCATGGACTGTAGCTGTACTTGGTGAACCTAGAACTTCATTTATTCAGAATACTATAACATATAAGATTTCATGTGTGACGTGTCTTTCTTTTGGATTAGAAATTCATTTATTCAGAATACTATATAACATATAAGATTTCATGGCTGTTTCGTGTCTTTCTTTTGGTATGCTTTTAATAATTCATCCAAATATGAAGATATGAATTTGATGATTGAATTTGTTTATTCTTTTGCATATTGTGCTCAATCTATTACAGATTTTGCTCACACTTGGCTGTTTTGCAGTGTCATACTGTTTCCTATTGCAATCACTTTCTACATAACATGGTGGTTTGTTCACTTTGTTGATGGATTCTTCTCTCCAATCTATGCCCATCTTGGAATTGATATCTTTGGTAAGAATGTTTAAATTTAGCATCATAAGCCTTTTCCTGTCCAAGGATAAATGCATATTATCAAACAATTCATATTCTTTCTGATCATTTAGCTTGCTTTTTTTGGGGTTTTTGTTAGGTCTTGGATTTATAACCTCCATAACATTCATTTTCTTGGTTGGGGTATTCATGTCATCTTGGTTGGGAGCTTCTGTCCTGAGCCTTGGGGAGTGGTTTATCAAACGGATGCCATTTGTTCGTCATATTTATAATGCCTCCAAGCAAATTAGTGCTGCCATATCACCAGGTCTGCGCTCAGCTTCCTCATGTTTTCATTGGATGGGTTTAAGCAACTGCCATTCACATATCATGCTTGTTATGTGTTCTAGACCAAAATACTCAAGCTTTCAAGGAAGTGGCCATTATAAGGCATCCACGTATTGGTGAATATGCTTTTGGGTTCATTACATCATCTGTCATCCTCCAGGTCTGCAAGTGGTTTTCTGCTGTACAATAATCATTATAGCATTGTGTGAATTGCATGTTTTTTTGTCTGTGGTTGGACCTATAAACTAGGAGTCTTGGATGCTGATTTTGGATGCAAAAATATACAATTTTGGTCACTATACTCCAATTCATGAATTAAGATATGGCGAAGGCAAACTCCTTGCATGGAGAGTAATAGATGACCCTAACTTTGCTGTGAAAGATTTGTGCATGCATGTCTTTGGTGCCAACTTTGGGATCTCAATTAATGCTACCTCAATTTTTGGGGGCTGTTCTACAACAATCCTAATTGATTACTAGATTCTGGAGATTATTGCAGTTTGGGATATTGAGGGTGTTAACCTTATTTAAAAACAGAGTTAATATTGGGATACTGATAACTTGATAAATGCTTATCATAGCATCAATTGCATTTACATTCAAATTCTTATGTTTTCTAAGTATTCATTGCAGAACTACTCTGGAGAAGAGGAGTTATGCTGTGTCTATGTTCCCACGAATCATCTGTACATTGGAGATATATTCCTAGTCAATACCAAGGATGTTATCAGACCCAATCTTTCAGTCCGAGAAGGAATTGGTAAGGACTCAGTTATTCTTACATTCATTTTATCAAATATCTCTTTTGAGCATCCCTGTGGGGGGTAACAGGGCATATTTCTTAAGCTGTTTTTATTCAGGATACTAGAAATGCAATATTGCTTGTTATTGCATACTAACATACATTTTAGGCTTAAGAGTTTATTTATTCTTAAGGTATTGGGTCCTTTGTGGAAGACGGGTTCTGACATGTATTTTAATTTTCCCTGCCCAAAAATGAGGGAAGCAAAAGGAGATCTCTTACCAATTCGTCTAATTTATTCTTTGATTGCAGAAATTGTGGTGTCTGGGGGGGTGTCAATGCCCCAGATCCTGTCAACACTTGATTCACGTGTTTCAGTGGATAGAAGTAGATCTGAAAGAAGCTGAGATTGAAGAAAATAGTTGTAGATGATCATTTTTTACTTATATTGGTTTCATATCGAGTCATCAGAATGACCACTCAATCAGATTTGTGCTGATAGCACTGGATTCGAGGTTAGATCTAAAAAACTATGGCTGTATCAGATTCTGGTGGCTTGTGTAACATTTGTTATTAAGAATGTAGATTCAGTATTTGCTTGGAATAGTCTGGTTTACAATGGCAGGTAGGCTCGTTGGTTTTGGGTTCTTTTTCCCCCACGTATTAGAATGGTCATTGGCTAAACTGTGCTGAATGTATTCTTCGTAGACTTGTCGGTTGCACTGGAACCGTGCGTGATTTAGGAAAAAAAAAAAAAAAAAAAAGAAGAAGCAAATCTGACCATATTTATTTCACTGCAAAAAATCTCAGCACAAATGCACAAGGCTTATCGATCCGAAAGCATCGATTAGCTGTACAAGTCATTGTGTTCAACGTTCTGATCTGCATGGTTTCAAGACATTAGTCTCAGAATGAAAAAGACAAGGGAGCTGGAGATGGGTGGAAGACACGTATCTATAAATAATGATTTATTTATTTTTTCTCATATCACCAATGAACATGTTAAATCATTTGCTTTGACCAGTTCAGCTAGTTGCAAACCGTTTAGCATTTCTCTAGAAAATATACCCACAACACGATAAAAAGAACCTTGCATGTTTGTGTTAAGAGTTTAAAAAATGAAATGTTACTCGAAGGGAAAAAACTAGCATGGTGGCCCAGGCCTCTGGGCCTTTCAACTCAGATTTATCTCCGCTCGTAGGCTGATTTTTTTTTTTTTTAATTAAGGGTTAGATGAACCTCTTATCTTTTTAAAAAAAAAAATACATACGCTATTATCTTTTTTTAAAAAAAAATACATACGCTATTCGTCACTTGCTACCTAGTTTTAGACGGTCCGGAGGTTGAAAAAATTTCAGACAGGTTTTTTTGCCAAAATAAAAAACTTAATTTTAATTTTTAACCTAAAATACCTCTAAACATCCTGCATTTTTTGTTTGATAAGATTATATGTGGCCTCAAATAATCTTAAAATCCACCAAATTTAAAAAAAAAAATATTCAAACTTAGATCTACCAACTCAAGAAAGTTTCTAAGCAAAAAAATATTTAGACTTAACTCCTCTCATGGAATAAAACTTATGATTAATCCTCTCATGGAATAAAACATATGATTAATCCTTTGATGATTAAAATTTCTTTCTCCTCTCTTAAACTATGGATTAAAATATAAAAAAAAATTATCAAAATTGAATTTATAAAAAGTTGAAGGACTTAAAGTGCATAATTTGAAAAGTATACTAAAGAAATTATTTTGGAAAGAATTACAAAATCACCATCAGCAATATCCACAACATAATTGTTATAGTGAAACATCATCTCTTTTTAGTCATTATGCTAGCTATTTGACCAACACTTCATCATGGGTGATAAATTTTATTTTTTAAAAAAATATGCAAACCTTTCAATGTGTTTTTTGACATAAAAATTCATAACCATAAATTAAAAACTTGATACACACATCTAATTAAATAAATTGAGAATTATTTGTGCCAATAAATGAAGAAAAAAACTCATATACTATAAAAATTAAAGATAAATATAGATCAAAAAATTTAATATTACAATAAGGGTCATGTACCCAATGATGTTTATTAACTTTATTTTTTGGAACTAGTGTTTTATTTAATCAAATGATAGTAAAAAAAGACACACTTAAGAAAATGATTGAATAAAATTAAAGAAAAGAAATCTAAGTATGGCTATACATAAGGAATGCCTTCTAATATCATAAAAAATACTTTGAAATTTCTCCATAAAATAAATAAAAATTCAATTGTATTATATTAAAAAAAAAAGATAATAAAAATTAGTTAAAATAAAATAAAATTAATAAAAACTTAACATTAAAAAATAAAATTAATAAAAAAATAACTAAAAAAATAAAACTTAGATACATCGACTTAGTCTAGGTGGCCAAATGCACCTGGCCTTTAAGCCGAGGCCTATATTCCTAGGTAATTTGTGATAGGTCACTTGTCTCTCTTTAAATTATAGCTATTATAGTGGTTGTGAAATTAAAGATAATGAGTTTTTTTATTTAAAAATCTATTTTAATATATTTTTTACCAAAAAATTAATCAAAATAATTTATACATCTTAGGAAATCTATTAATACCAATATCAATGTATTTTATAGTATAAATTGATCACAACCAAGATTCTCCTTCTTTATCCAACAACTTTTTTTCTTGTTTCTCAAACCAAGTAATTAAAAATTAAAAATTAAAAATATATATTTTCATACTAAAATTGAATATGTGAAAATAGTTTTTTTAATATATTATATAATAATTAAAATAATTACCATTCTACAACCTCACACGCTTAACACGTGTTTATTTTCTAGACTTATTACAACTTGAAACATTTTATAATCACTACTTTTTCTGCAATCAATGATCATAACACTTCATCCTCAAGTATACAAATTGAAAGCTTGGAACCAAAATTCCTTCCTAACCAATATCTATCTTTAAGGAAGCCAAACTGATTAACCCCATCACCACAGCATCAGTTTTCTGACACCGCTGCAAGATATGATGTAAAGATGGCAGCGTCATCCAACAAAGCCAGCATATACAATCGTCCTAATTACGAGATCTCGAGAGAGCCAACCAAAAAAGGGCAGCATGCCTTTTTACTTGACCAAGAAGCCTAGTCATAAAAAGGTAAGTTGTTTTTATTTTTCCTCATGTTCTTTATTTTAAAGCATTGCTTAATTAATGTATCGTTATCTAAGATGAGATTAATGGTTTATCTACGTAGGATTCAATTTGGTAAATAGAATATCAGTTAACAAACAACATCTTTAAACGCTTGTTTGAAATTATAATAGTAATTATAGTTTAAAGTAATTTTTATTTTAAAATATATTAAAATAATATTTATTAAAAATTATTTTTAATAATAGTATATCAAAATAATATAAAAACATAAAATTTTTTAATTTTTAATTTTTAAAATTATTGCATTGCTATAAAATAAAAAATAATTCAAATTAAAAAAAAAATTACAAGAAAGAAATAGAAATAAAGAGGAGAAAGATTGAGAATCGATTATATATTAAATATTATTGATAAAATTATTTTGATGATGACTCCATCAGTCATTCTATTAATATTAATATCCATCAGTCCATATTTATATCTGTAAAATTAAATTTACATGTTATTATATTATTTGATTATTTTAATTATAATTCTCTCATATATATTAATAATATATTTTTATTAATATTTATTAAAAAGATTAATAACAAAAGATTCCATAAATATCATCATAAAATATTAATAACAAAATTCTGTTGATATTTTTATTTATATTCGTTAAGTTTTTGAGACACCAGGTTATGGGGCGTGAGAGTGTTTTCAGTTTAGGGTTTCCTTATAAGTTTCTATTTATACCACTATCAATTTAACGGTATTTTTAATTTTTGGTTGAGGCGGTCTGGTTTCTAAACTAAACTGGACCGGATTTTTTGGTTTTCTTTGAAGCGGTCAGTTTGCTCAATTTCCTTCTTGATTCGGTTTTATCAATTAGTTTTTTTTTAAAAAAAAACTTTTTTGGTTTAATCATTTTTCAGTTTTTTTCTCTCCCTGTAAATCAAAAGTGGTCAAATCATTGTGAAAACGAACGTGGTAAGTGTTCCCACGTGTCGTGCCTATAACCTCTGCCACGTCAGCATTAAACTGCGAAAAAATAAAAAGGGAACAGCCAACACCTGGTCCCCGAACCACTTTGTCTCGTGGTTCTGTTCCGAAGCTAGGCATGTAACAGTAACGCTTCTTTTCTTCGGCCCTCATCACTCAAGCAGGGAAGGAAAGAAGTGTGGAATAACAAACTCTCTCTGCCCCACTGTCTTATTAAAAATTATTTCTGTTTCAGTTGGAATCCTTAATGAGTACAAATTAAACCAAAATCATTTCTCTGCCGTTTCTTCCTTCCTTCTTCTCTTCCAAACCTGAATCATTGATTCAAACCAACTTCCAAAAGAAAAATGTTGCACGCCATATCGGAATCGGACATGACAAGCATGGCACCATCGTCGCCACGATCTCCAAAACGCCACGTCTTGTACTACGTGCAGAGCCCATCACGTGACTCGCACGACGGCGATAAGTCCTCTTCAATGCAAACAACTCCTGCCTACGCCAGCCCCATGGAGTCCCCTTCCCACCTCTCTTATGGCCGCCACTCTCGGTCATCGTCCGCCAGTAGGGTTTCCGGGGGTGGTTATGGGTGGAAAGGGAGAAGCAAGAGTAAGGGGTGGCCTCAGTCAAAGTGTGATGATGTCATCGAAGAGGAAGGAGATTATGATCCTTATAGAAATGGGGTTTCAAGGAGGTGGCTCTGTCAGGTTTTGATTTGGGCTTTGGGTTTTGTTTCGGCTTTCTGTGTCTTTTGCCTCATCATTTGGGGTGCCAGCAGGCCTTTCAAACCCCAAATTGCTGTTAAGGTATGCACATGTTAGATTTCTCCTTTCTTTTGTTTCTTTATTATCTTTTTTCCTATTTCATCTTTTCTTTTGTTTTTTTTTCCTATTTCATCTTAAAGATGACCTTTTTTCGTTTATTTGCAGAGCTTGACTGTACATAATTTTTACTTTGGTGAAGGTTCGGACATGACAGGAGTCCCAACCAAGATGTTGACTGTGAGTTGTTCAGTGAAGATGAATGTGTACAACTCGGCTACCTTTTTCGGCATTCACGTCAGCTCCATTCCTGTCAATCTTATGTATTCAGAGCTGACAGTTGCAACTGGTGAGGTAAGGTTTTCTTGCTATGATCGTCAGCATTGGCTCTGCAAGTTGAGTTGATTACAGAACAATGATTTTTGCAACGAATAGGTGGAAACTACTTTGTAGCAATATGGTTATCAATTGCGTTCTAACTGGCCGGTTAGCGTTCTTATTTTGTTTTTTTTAAAAAAAAAAATTGAAATAGAATGTTTTGGAGCGATATATATATATATAAACTTAGCAAACATAATTTAAATTTAAATTTAAAAATAAATTAATTTAAAATTTCAAATAAAAGTTAAAATATAACCCGATAAATTGATGTGTTCAAAAATAATTTTAATAACTAATAAAAATATAATTTTACTCAAAACAATTCAAGATAATATATATATTTTTAATATAATATTAATATAACAATATATTGATTTGACCTGAATTAATCTGAATTAACCTTTTAAATCTACGATTTAGGTTATTAGATTATGATAATTATAAATAAAACAAATCAAAATAAATTATGAATCTTAATTCCTAATAAATCTATTTTTGAATGATGGAATTGAGAAAAAAATAAATATAAAAAAAACAATAAGATGACCTAAGTTTATTCGAATTAATTTGTAAAACTTGTAATCCAAGTCAATAATCTTAAGTAATTTTATAGAAAATAAACTGAAATAAATAAATAAAAATTAAATTCATAATCAACTAAATGTTGAAGATATTAAATAATTAAATTAAAAAAAAAATTAAAATTTTAAAAATATTTGAGTTAACTGGGTTAACCTGTTAAATATGTGATGTAGATCATGAAATTGAAATAATAAAAAAAATTATAATAAATCATAAAATCCAATATTCAATAAATGAAATGTGTTGAAGGATAAAAAAATTTAAAAAAAAATATTAAATGATTTTTTAAAATAAACACTGCACGGCTAGAATGAAATGACTAAAATGGATCAGAACATTCCAGTTGTTCTATTCTGACCAAAAATTTGATGGGATTTCTGGAATGATATAAGTTTCTGAATGAATGAGATAAAATTTATTCTGATTTGATTTAAAAAAAAAAACTGGTATGAGATATACAGATAAAAAAAAAAAACCGTATTGATAACATAGTATCATGTTTATGTTTGCAGTTGAAAAGATACTTTCAACCAAGAAAGAGCCACCGGACTGTGTCAGTGAATCTAAAAGGAACAAAGGTTCCGCTGTATGGCGCAGGGGCGGGCTTTGCAGCTTCAGAAGACAATGGGGGAGTTCCAATGACTCTAGTTTTTGAAGTCAGGTCAATAGGGAATGTTGTGGGAAAATTGGTGAAGCCGAGGCATAAAAGGCGAGTCGCTTGCTCTTTGGCAATTGATTCTCGTAGCAGCAAAGCCATCAAATTTAAGGAGGATTCGTGCACGTATCATTGAATGGCAAGGTGGTTGATTTATCTTTCCATATGGAAGAAGAATACCATCACTGCCGAATCAATATGGGGTGGTTCCAGCCTTTAGAATTTGATGCCGTTTTTTTCCTTAGGTACATGAAATCATGTCAACTATAAAATTGTATATGGAATAAGTCCATGCTCTGGCGCTTGACGTTTTTTGTTTTCTTGTTATGCTATGTCTAAGATGACTTGAGCTACACAGTCAGGCCTTGATATCCTGTGTGCGAGACTGAGGTACAGAGGAGAGACAATTACACATTAAGAAAATCACTAGATTTGCGTGTTCGAGGAATCATTAGGCACTCCTGAAACTGTACTCTTCACTTACAGAAAGTGGAGACGCGCCATGATAGCTAGGCTTGAAGCGTGATCCTACATGGCAATTGAAATTGAAACAACTCAAACAGTGCACTCAACATGCAACTTCTCATGGCGTTCTGGAATCTCAGCGCCCAGACGGTTTTTCGCTGAATTAAAAATACGCCATTGGACCCAATTTAAAAGCCACATGGGAATGTTCTGATAGACTGTAAGTTAACTTATTTGCATTCTTGCTCATGCTGGAACCAGATCACAATCATTTGCCATTTTTTTGAGTGTGCATGCGCACGCAAGTGTGGTGTGTCGGTTTATGTATGCGTGTGAGAGAGAGTTTGCTTCATAAAATACAATTCAATTCTGTAGATCAATACAGATATGGCCTACAATTACATCAAGGCCATTAGAAAGGGGCTAAAAAACTTTCCCCAGCAAGAACTGCCTCTATCAAGCGAAGAATGCTCTTACAGATCTTGTTAAAAAATGGTGACAAGATTAAAGGCAAAAAAGAAGAAGAAAAAAACAGAATAAAAAGATTGTGAATATCCAAAAATAAATAAACTCTTCCGATGGACTCAAAACTATATAGATGAAGAAGTGCTATCCTGCTTATCAACAGCACAGCCAGTCTCAAGAACTGTGCGGCCAATCCTATAAGGAGGCCAATAGCGGAAGATTGATCTTCCAATTATATTCTTTGCAGGAAGGGGACCCCTGAAAGAGTCATAATTCCAGACATTAACAATGTTATTTGAAAAGGGAAAAAAATAAATAAAAAGCTAGGCATGCTCTAGCGGTTGTAAGTTCAGGAGCCTACCATACGTGTGAGTCATAACTGTTATTACGATTGTCACCCATCACAAAAACAGAGTTCTCAGGCACATGCTGCGTTACAAAGCATAGAAATAAGTGATGGGTTATAACAAGGGGAAAATGGTACATTCCATGCAAACACGCTGCAAGGCAAGAAGTTCAGAATTTAACTTCTAAGTTGTAATTTCACTATGATGACAGTCAGGAGTTCTTAGTGAAACTGTAACTGTATACATGTTGGCCAACTACCAGCCACAAACCTCCTCCTATAACTTGGTTGGGATAAAAGAACATCCAAAAATCAAGAAATGAGATGCCAATGATAGCGTTGATACTTACAATAGGTGTCAACTCATACGAAGGAGGTTCAAGAATAAACTTTTCACTTCTCACAACTCCATTTACTATAAGCTTCCCCTCATGAACCTGCAATCAAACCATGGGCCATGTTTGAATGCAATAATCAAAATATTCCAAGAGAAAATTTGAAATGTGCATTTTGTAAGATAGACATGTTCATTCGGAAAGACAGGCATTTTGTAAGATAGACATGTTCAACAAGCATCATTTCCCTATGCTCTCACTGTTTTTTGAACTAGAAGGCACGTTAATCACATTACATCCAAATGTATTGAGACATAAGGTTCTATAATCCAGCAAAACATCATTATTTGGTGCACATCAGCCCCATCATTGTCATCATAAATAAAACAAAATTTGATTTTGCACCCTTCCCCCTCTCAAAATCTCAAAAATAAAATTCTAAAATGAGAGTGAAGTGTTTTATGAATAATAAAAACACAGAACTGATGATAAGATTACTTAGCAAAAGTGCCTTCTTTGGTAGCTGACCTCCACAGTATCACCTTCCTTTGCAACAATTCGTTTTATGAAGACATTATCATCCGTGTATCCAACTTCCTGGAGGACTGGTGGACTTTTGAAGATCACTATATCATTTACACATGGCTTTCTGAAATAGTATGAAACCTGACAATTTCATGTAGCATATCTTATGCATGATACTTCATAAGAAAATTAGTCATTTCAACATTTTCACATCGAGATTCAAGCAAAAACATGAAATTCCCGAACATGAAGAAAACTCATTCTGATTGTAGCACAAACAAAGGCAAAATAAGTTCCTACATGGTCTTCCAGGATTGACACTAACACACTTTACTCATTCATGCAACATCTTGTATAAACTTTGATAGCCTCCCAAAAATTTCAGTGCACTCCACAATAAGTTGGAATCTAAAGTTGTTCCCTAAACGCCCAATGGTCATAATCCCTCATTATTCAGAAAAAAACTTCCTCTTATGAGACATCAAGACAATAAACCTTTGCATCAACTTGCAATCTCCGTGACTGATATGTGCCTCTGTTCAGCATTAAATTTACTCCCAAAAAACCTCATTAACATCATTAAAGAAAAGAAAGAAAAGGAAAGGAAGCCATGTTACCTTCTCTGAAAAAACACGATCGCCAACATCAAATGTTGGATACATGGACAGAGAAGGAATGAATCTTGGCTCTGCTACAAAAGAACGAAATGCAAGGGAAACAGCAACAGCAGCAAACACAGTCTTCGCATCATCAGTAGTGAAATTTAACCACTCTGGCAAATTCCCATCTTTTTTCTTCATCTCCCCATCACCATCACCATCACCATCATCCCCACCTCCACCTCCACCTCCCCCGCCATCGCCACCAGAATCCACCACTGCTTTAGTCTCTTCATCAGAATCCTTCTTAACCCCATAACAAATTAATCTCTGAAATTGAACCGAAAGTTTTAATCTTCGTGAGGTTTTAAGTTTCAAGTTGGAGTTTTTGGGGAAAGAGAGGAAATGGGTATGCGTTGATTTTACAAGATAAGGGGTTTCGAAGAAAGATTTTGGGTAGAAATTAGGGTTTTTGGAGCATTGAAGTGAAAGGGGATTAGGGTTTATGAAGTGGGAGGAAGGCAAAGGGGATAGAATTTGCAGAGATATCATCATCTCTGCTCAAACTTCAGAATTAGGTCCCAGTTCGAAAATCAAAATTTTCATACTGTAGAGAGTTGGGATTCTCTTTAGATATATCATACTGATAAATTATACTTTAATAGTGGGTCTTGCTATTTTCCTATTGGCTGATGCTTTCATGTAGTTGCTAACAATACGTTTTTATAAAGATATTTTGGTATTAATATAATATATAAAAAATATAAAAAAATATTTTAAAAAATAAAAATCAATTTAATATTTTTTCATGAATATTAAAAAGATAATTTAAACCAAAAACCAAACAAACAAACTAGAAGTCAATAATAATAGTATATATAATAAAAAAAACACCATGAGTATGTTAAATTATGATTTGCAAGGTTAACCATGATTAAAAATTTATTATTTAAATTATTTATTATTTAATATTTTTTTTGGGATAGGTGAATAATTAGAGTTAATGATTATCCTTCCTATTATTGTTTTTAAAGTATTATTTTTAATATTATATTATAATTTATTTATTTATTGAAAAACTAATGCAGTTTCAAAAGTTTTTAGAAATTTGTGTTGTTATTAATATAATGGATTGTGATATTTTTAATAACTCAATCCATTTTTTTAAAAAAAAATATGCAAGATACATGTGAATTTATGAACCAAATATATAAAATAAAGTTCACAAACAAGGCTAAATATATCAATACATGAATCATAATTTTAGTTTTGGACTCAATTTTTTCTAGATGAATTCTATAGGTGCAATTATATATAAAGATGAACGGTTATAAACAATGTAGGTTTAAAAGGCCCTCAAATTATATCTAAAAAATAATGTTTTTATTGTTTTTATTTATTTTCTAGTTAGTTTTAAATTTAATTACTTTTTCTTCTTACCTTTAATTTAAAAGTATTCAACATTGTCTTTTTTTTTTTTAGTCACTAAAATGAATTTTCTCATTGAAGTGACTATCTTCGCTTTCTCTATCACTACTTATTAGTAAATGAATCCATAAATAAAAAAAAATAAAAATAATATGAAACAACAACTTTCAAGTTTAATTTGGACATAGAATTGATCTCAGTTGAAAGAGAGAAACTATAATTTTAAAAACCGAAAGTTTAAAGTTAAACTCTAAAGAGAAAATTCTTATTTGATAAAGTATGAATATCAAAACAACTTACATAAATAGTATATATAAATGTTTAAATAAGAAGTGAAACTAACCTAGATAATAGATTTTGAATTAAATAAAATTTGCAAATCTAATTAGGGAATGAATCAATAAACAACAAGGAAAATAAATAATAGTGTGAACAACAACATCCGAATCTTATTTAGGCTTGCAAACAATCTCAATTGTAAGAGAGAAACTAAGGTTTTGTGATTAGTATTTAAAAATGCATTTTTTATCAAGGTTTTATGTCATCATTTTGCACTTGAAGTATCAATAACTCCTTAACTAAAGCATGTTTTATAATAATATATCTAATAATATAAGATACCTATAATTTGTGGTAAATGTCTATTTTTAATGCAGGCCTATCACATAAATGAAAAAATTGATTGATGACTTTAAGAACTTAAATTGCAACGGCAAA